ACACACACACACACACACACACACACACAGACACACAGACAGACAGACATACGCACCCCCAACAGATACAAAAAATCACACGCAAATACACACACAAATACACACACAAATATACACACACAGAGCAAAGATATCTTCAGCATCTCATGAACCTCAGTCAAGTAGAATCCTTTAACCCCGTTAAAATCGAAAACTCATGAACAGTTTGGGGGTTTCTAATTTTGTCGGCTGTATCGATCAAACAGGGGGAGAACCGAGAATAACAATCCACAGAAACATGGGCAAGATGTTAAAATATCTGTTTCCAGTCAAGAAACATTTTCGCTCTTCTTTCTCTTTTCAGAGTTCCATAAAGAGAAACTGACGAGGTGAAGAGAAAAAGACCCCAACAACCCAAGTTTCCTGCTCCTCCAAGGGACCCAGCGGCCTCCGCTCTTGCCTGTCAGATTCTCCTTGTCACGTGACCCACTCCCCGCTGACGTCACGACAACAAGCGTATTACCGCGTCAGCAAAGTGCGCTGTGAGATTGCCGCATTTGCGCACGGTGTTCTGTTTGGAGTAAATGCAAGGGGAAATAATTGTGATGATGAAAACGTTTCCTTCAGCCATTGTCAGTCTTCAGAGCCCATCTGAATGTCGTTAGGGGCTTCTTCAAAGAAAACACAGCGCCGTGGGCATTCTTTGCAAGGAGACGCGTGTGTTTCTGGATCTTATTCTCTCTGAACGCTGTGTGCATAAAGTTAGATATTTGTTTTGTCGCTTTTAAGAAGTGGTGTTATTTTTTTAAAGCTTACCCCCCCATTCCCAGCAAACAAACTAAAACAAAACCCAAACCAAAACCAAAACAAAGAAAACAACAACAACAACAAAAACCCCCATCAAGCAAACAGTAGGACGCGTTTTTGACCTGTGATGTATTATTTGTCATCGTTTTGCAAAGACAACTGTATGAATGTAATTTTATCGTTGAGTAGCTTCCTTACACAAGGAAGATTTACCTGAAGTGCTGTAATTCTTTTGCTCTTCAAAGAGTATAAATCTTGCTTTCCTCTTGTCGGACGGAAAGCAAGATAAAACAAAGAAAATACCACAGAAAAACCCCCCTGAATATCTTAAATATAATACTCACACACACACATACACACACACATACACACACACACACACACTCTCTCTCTCTC